GGAATGCAGCTATGTGCATGCATTTTTTTTTCTGTTTCCAAGCTACTATTTAAGCACTGTACAGGTTTTTGGATTCTCCCACCAGGAGGCCTCTCTCCCTGCATACTGTATTCAGACTTAATATTGAGCCCTTGATTCTGCTGTGAAGTTCAAATCAACGAAGGCCTTGAAGTATCTTAGTTTGCAGCTGTCTTTGGCTCTAGCCTTTGTTGGCTTTAGACAATACTTTCATTCTGCAGTACGATATTGGGTTCAAATTATGAAAAAACATTCAATTACACTGAAATATATGTATGTAAACCAACAAGGAAATGGATCCAGCAAAACACTTTTTTGTCCTTCATTGACAATGAAGGTTCAATGAGGTTTCAAAACAGTGGTAGTTTTATGAATGTCTTTCTGAAAAGACCCCTTCCATTTGAATTTTGTTTCAGTTTTCCATTTTACAATTTCAAAAGGGGTTAGATCACCAGTGAATTGACATTGAAAGCAGCTAAGAACATGAAAGAAAACCTTTCCTCACAAGAAATAATAATAGTAAAAAATGTCTGCCAAAAATACATGACTTCTTGTTATAATTTGATATAAAAAGGAATGATAAAGAAATCTGATAAATGGCATTAATAACTTCTATAGGGCAACAGTATTATAAAGTGGTCACTAGGTAAAAATTAATATTGACCTACCTTTATAAAATGGCGTCAGAGCTACTATCATCTCACTGATAAGGAAACTGTAGTATCTTTTATATGATGATTGACACATAGCTAGGTGACTATAAAAAAAAAAATTGCATCATTTAATTTAACTTCCTTATGAAGGAATAAAATCCTGTCTTAGTTCTCTGAGAGAGCTAAAACAAAAATGGGTCATTAGTTTTAGAATGAAAAAAATCATTCTAATTTAGCACTTTAAATAAAAAATACTGGAAAAAATATAGAATAAATATAGAATGTAAAAAGTATATTTCCTAGAAATATGATTCAATTATTAATTTTAAATTTGAAAATGAGTATTAGGGCTTTTTGCTGTTGTTGAACATTGGATTTTTGGGAAACTGGTACTTTCAAGTAAGATCATCTTTATTTTTCTTCTCTTACTTCCTCTGCTTTCATTGGTTTGCAGAGCAAAACTATATCGTTTCATAGCTGGACAAATTGTACCTGAGATTTGAGGATTTTTGAGATTAAAAATACAATAAAACTACAGTACTTCTTATCTTAAAGGAAAAATATGAATTAAAATAGTCACTGGGAATATAAATGTGGAATTGATTACACATTCCTACTACCTTCTTCTACTGTTTGTAACAGAGACAAATAGAGGAAAGTGTTTTTTGGTTTGTTTGTTTTTTCTCTTTTTTCCTGAAAACTGCAGGAAACAGGAAAATTTGAACAAAAAGACTAGGTCCTATAATCATCATCACTTTGCTACATAAATGGTATAGTTTTGGGGAAGACATCTAAGCATGACTCTATGGACAGAAAAGTGATATTGAGAAAAAGCTAAGAGGCTGTGAAACCCCATTTTACTGAGCTTTTTTTGCCTTTAAATAAAAAACTCAGCCTTTCTGGATACAATACACTACTCTGTAGATTGAACCTATCTCAACTGCATGAATGAAAAACTTCAGTTTACTCTGCAATCCAGAGAGCTCATTACAGGCCTATAGTTTATGCTGTACAGCAAAGAAGTAGATGTGCAGATATAATTTCCAGGAACCGTACTCAGGGTGTTTCCTATGATTTGGCTGAGAAAACTTGTGAACAGTCCTCAGTTAAAAAGAATTTCAAACCCAATCTCTGTAGCCCTTGTAATTACACTTACAGCATATATCCCTTAATTATTAATACCCTGATAAATTAGTCTTTATCTGTCAAATTAATGTTCAATACAGAATTGACCTAAGTTGGATTTAATATGTTTTTCATATTAGAAATTAGCTACAGTAGAGTTTTCTTAACGTGATTGAGTTACTGCACTGTTGCCTCTCAACTGTGGAAGTAAAATAGGAGTAAAGAATGGTTAACTAAAAGTAATAACCTTTTCTTTTTTTCTTTCTTTAAATGGACAAAGTAACAGCTGGCTACAACAGCTGCCAGCATTCTAATATTTGGGCAGATGTATTTTCCACATAATTTTAAGTTCACAGAGACCAGATGCTTCCCGTGGTTGCTCTAACCAGTTTTTCTGTTTTCAGCATTCTGAGATTTGCTTTGAACTAAAGCTTTTATTCTTCTCCTGAATCTTCCGCTATTTGTATTTACAAAATTGTCAGGCAAGGCAACAGATATTAGGGTCAGAGCTGGATTAATCTTGATGACCCACAGCTTCTTTTGAAGTACTTTCCTTTTAGACTCCAACGTAAAAGTATTAAACATGGTGTGGTGTTTACATCTGTGTAATACATGAGTGTACTTTTGTAGAGAGGAATTACAGCTACAAAAATGAATGTTTTCTGTAAACTCTTGTTCAAATTTAAAAAATAATATGCTTTAGAAAGGTTCATGCACCCAATTATATTCATTTTGAAGAAAATTTGAGTATATCTGTTTCCCTGCATGAGGGCTGGAGTTCTTCCTGGAGTTGTACTGAAAAACTGGGAAAGAAAACAAACTACATGATTGAGTTCTAAAATTTCCTGGGCCAAATCTTGATCTTACAAAATGCTGAGCATGCTGTCACTGATCCAGCAAAATAATTAGGCCCAGCAATTGCAAAGACTGTTTAGCCTCAAGGATGAGAGGGATGTCTCATTGAATTCAGCTGGACAATTCAAATGTTTAACTGCGAGTCCAAAGCTACTTGCTCTGCTGGACTGAGTCCAGAGCACTTAGCATATTGTTAGATAGACACTTAAACGAGCCACAGATTGATCTTGTCCTCACATTCAGGGCTGTGCAAGTCATTTCTTAGTATAGGCTGAAGTGATGACAGATAATTACAGAGAGGTAATTGCAATGAACTCTATACATTTTATATGAGATGGGACATAAGGAGGAGCAGGGTTCCCAAAGTCTGTTGCCAGAGCCCCGGCACAGAGGTAGTTAAGCCAGAAAATGTCAGAACACACCCTTCTCAGGGAGAACTGCACATCCCTACAAAATTATCCTAGCTGTGCCGAGAGAGAAGACATAGGCACAGTCTTTTGCATTCATAGCAAAGGAAGTAAAGGTTAAACATTTTTGTCTGATTTCATGTGTACCTTTTACACATGAGAATTACTCATGTGTAGATGAGATCTACTCAGAGATCTCATGAGATGAGAATTACTCATTCTCTCCAAGAAATTTACAACATCTACATCTTCAGCTATCATTAATATTTCATTTAACAGGGAATAGAATAAGAATTCCAGGGAATAATTAAAATTACTCAAATTTTAAATATTAAATAGTCATATCAATGAGGCAGTATACCTGATTCAGACTGTAAGACTTTGAAAAGAAATATGTTGTAGTGCTTACACAATGGAGGCATTTGATTACTTAATCCCCAGAAAAAAAAAGAGAAAAACCCCCAAGTTTGTCATCAAACTATTTTTATTTCTAATATCTTCATACATAGTCTCAATTGTGAAAGCTTCACATGAATTGTAGTGCATATATCTGTATAACTTGTATCTCTATGGCCTATATGTTGCATCTCAACATTTCTAATTTGCTGTTATCTCCCAGATGTGGCTGCATAGGTGCTTTGTACTTTGTACTGTCTCCCTGTTTTGGAGGGATGGGGTGTTTCATCACCTTAGACAATGATTTCTGTTGTTTGGGATCTCAGGAACCATCATATCAGCTCTTAAACATTTTCTCATAAACATGGATAAGATCAAGCAAAACAAACAAACAGAAACATTTTTGCTGAAAACTTTAATGTAAGGGCAATATTTTAAAGGCACCCTAGCGACAGTGTCACAGTACTTCTCTGTGTTTTGAAAACATCTCACAACCCTTTTCTCCTCGGTTCCTCTCCTGGTTAGATTACACTAAATTTTGTGATCAATTTAATCATTCTGGAGAAACCAATCGATAGAAAAGGATGGCATGATGATATACCCACAGTATGTGAAGTGTTAACAGCAACACCTCTCTACCAAGTTCAGAGGGATTTTATTTCTGTTTAAGAATGCATTTATGTATTTATTTTTATGTATTACATTTTCGTATTAGAGATATTTATTATATTTTTATGTATCTAAAAGTAGAAGTCTAAGGAAAACACCATATAAACAACAGCCTCTTGAAGGAAATATAGAACTAGAAAATCTTCAAGAAAATCTGGTATCCAGTTTTAAAATGGAAATTTAATTCTAGAACATTTAGGCAACTTAAGCTAGTCAATTTTTCTTAACTGGATAAGAACAGTATTTTGCAGTGAGCAGGACTGGGAATTCGAGGAATTTTGAACATGGTCAGATACAGTCATCCAAACGAAGTAAATCCAAAGAAGTTTATTAGAATCTATTATATGGATATCACTACATAACATTCTAAAAACACAAGGATCTTTCTGATATAAATTTACTGCACTTTTTTGCTTTGATCTTTTTGCAAAAAGAATCATCATTAGAAAATGAAGAAATTTGTGTGGTCTTACAGGGGTGATGGAGTTAAAAGTCTTTATATTGCTAATAATTTAAGTTGTAAATAGGGGCACTGATAGGGAGGAAATGGGAGGGATTTAAGAAATGCTAAGAGGGTTATAGTCATTCCATTAACTCCACTCAGCCTTAAGTACATGGTTCAAATCATATGATGCTACCGTGAATATTTAGTTCCCTCCAACATTCAGATTTTTTTCTTCCCAGTTTGTATAGAATAGCTGAAGAATTTCCTCCCTTCCTTTCCTTTTGCCTGCCTGCCTGCCTTCTTCCTTCCTTCCCTCCTTTTCTCCCTCCCTCCCTTCCTTCCTTCCTTTTTTCTTTTCTTCTCTTTTTTTTAACTAAGTTAATTGAGGATAGTCAAGATTCACAGGAAAAACTAAAGCCATTTTATCTCTAAGGTATCCAACTGTTCTATATTTTTGACTTGCAATATCCAACTATATGTCCTTACTGCACACGTTAAAGGGTTTTACAAGTGCTAAATATTATTGAACCATTAGATCAACGTTCCTATAGATGTAGAACATTAGATTTCTATTTCAAAAAGCATTATGTACCATTTGGCATGCTCAGATATCCGTGTGTACATAAATTGGTAACTGCTGTTTGACTTAGCTTACAGAGTAATCAAAATTTGCTAATTCTATCCGTTTCCTGACAGCTACAGTGATATATTATCAGCTTGTCTGTCTATAAGCTATCTGTAAACATTTTTCCTCAAAACAGTTTGTGTTATCTAGATTATATTCAAACTTTAATAGGCATTTCATGAGATACTAGAAAATTTAGTCAGATTTATTAGGTTAATCACATGATAACATCTTACTATGGTTGCATGTCCTATAGGATCAAAAGGGCGACCCATTTGCTGCAATGTCAGAGAAAAAGAGGGTGCCTGCAATGATTTTTCTATTAATCTGGAGATCCTCCTTCTCATTCTCTGGGTAGAAGATACAGTTAACAAAATGTCCTCTAGCGACACTTCCAACTGTACAGGACAGCCTTGTGGACTCAGACAATCATCAGGACGCTGATCTCCAAGTAAGCTGAAAATCCTGAAGGTATTTGTGGTTTTAAGAAACACTGCCCTTAAGAACTGCGCTAGTATGAAGTTTTCCAGAGTGCTGCTTTGTTCAGAATCATTTCTAATGGGTCTTCACGGATAATAAGTTTTCAGTAGAGAAATGCACAGATAGGATTGTGAGCTCTTATGAATTATTTTTCTGAAATCTACTTTCCTTTCAAACACAGCTTGGACAGAAAAAAAAATAATTCCTGAAGATGTGTGAAATATGAGTTTAATGAGATTATAGAATAGCAATAGTTAAGCCATGACGATGTAATAAGTGTGCCTCAGTCTTGATAATTTGCATATGAAAAGAATCAAAATAATGCTGTTTTAGTATACTGTTTTTTAAACAGAGTTTGAATGATAAAAGTTTTACAAAGTATTACTTCTCATGAATATTACACTCTATAACTGGTTAAGTCACAGCATTCCTCTTTCTAGTACTATGCTCTAAATTAAGTGAACAAGTCTGCTGCTGATACTAAAACTGAAAAATAAACGAATACTTACTGTGTCTTTTATTGCTTTCAAGAGCCCACTTTCTACTCTTATGAGCCTCATAAACTTTGCATACTCATTCTCTGACTTCATCCCTGGCTAAAACAGGCTCATGTGCTGAAAACACAACTTATTTGCTCTTTATGCTATAGATTAAATTAACACAACACTAAAATATATATTTTTGTAGTGTGCTGTTACTGTGGAAATTTAGAGGACAGAACTGAATTTAAAGGAAGAACTTACTTACCCATCAACTAGGTAAAATTTTTGAATAAGACGGACTGTTCCCTCTGAAATTTCACCCTGAAGAGAAATACGCTACGTCTTTTGTAATACTACCATATAAAATCTGGATTTTCTCAGCTACTTGCCCATTTAACCAGTCATAATGCTGCACATAAAATTTACTCTGGTGTCCTCTGTCCAAAGCCTTAAACTTCCTTCACTCTTTTCTCCAGGTTCTCTATAACAAATTCATATCCCCACTAGTGGTCCAGTGTTCAACTCGTTTTTACCTCCCTCCTCAGACTCAGCTGTTTCATCTGAGTCTAAGAGGAGCTGAAATGATTCTGATGAGCATAGTCTTGAGAGAGCCATGAAAGTTTAAAATAAAATAAAATCCTAAATCAATGCCTTTCCTCATTCCTTTCTCCCCACCCCCAAAAATTCATTGTAATATATGTATCTAAAACTTCGCAAGCAGATGATCATGGTACAAAGGAGAATGTAAAACTATACTTTTGTTTCAGATTCTAGCAGGGCTTATGAAAATACATAGTTCTTTATAAAATGAATTCTTCTGCCTGTCGTATCTGGTTTCGCAGCTTTGTTTCCAAACAGAAAATTGCTCAAGCCACAGCTTCTCCTTTTACTACGAATTTCTTTGTGACTTGGCCATGACCATAATGAGAAATGAAAAAGGAGAATCTCCTCACTAATCCATTTGGCTTCTGGTATGTCTGTGATCATGATGGTCAGGAATCACTTACATAGGGAAGGACAACAAAGTGCAGTTCTGCAGGCGGTGTCTGAATGCCAGCGCTGGGATGGAGCCAGCTGCTGCCTCTCTGCGCCTCCTTCGCTTTTGGAGGGTGCCAACACACTGCTCCTTCTAGCAGGGCAATGGGAGGGAGGAGGCTGTTGAGTCAAGAGACTTTCAGTACGGTTCATGCAACTAACAAAGCCTATCACCTTCTTCTTGCCTAGGCCCACAGAAAGGGCTGCTGCTGGAAGTGACCTGCAGTCTTCAACCACTCTGTTGATCCCATAAGAAATCTTTTTCTTTTCCTAAACTCCAAGTCAGGCAGCCAAAATATTACTCTGTGCTTGTCCTTAATAGGATCAGTGATGAGAAACTCATCTTAAGAGACTTTTATCATAGTAACAAATTGCACTGTTCATGAATAATTTACAATACTGAGTCAATCAATCAGCTTAATTCTGAACTTTAAATATTTCTGCTGTTACATGTCAAAAGGAAAAGCAAGCTTTTATTTGCTGTAGAGCAAATTATATTTTAGAGTCCTCTTCCTGCTGTTTAAAAAATCTTCAGAGATGCAATCTGAGCAAGAAAAGATTGAACAGATCTTTATTTAAATAAGAGTAGCACTCACATCAGCCTGCTGATAAGCAGGTATGGCTTTTGCCATTTTTAAGGTCTGGGGCCTTTTTAATCTTCTATTTTTATTTTGCAGCAGCGGAGAAAATAATTGGCGTAGCACTGATTTTCAGGATCTATTTCCAAGTATTAATGATCCTGAAGATAGATATTGCTGCTAGAACTACAAGGTCAGAGTTCACTTTAAGCATTTCTGTGAAATCCACTGTAAGCAACTCTGAACAATGTTTTCACTGTAAGTTTAGCAATCAGGGAGAAAACCTTTGATTAATCAAACAGAAAGTTTCCTTGTCGACAACTAAAAGAATGAAACTAAAATGAAATTTGGACAAAAAACCTTTTTCAGAAATTTTGTTTTCCAAGAAAGAATATTTTTCACTGGATCTCATACTGTATAAATAATTTCCAGTATAAAAGACAGGTACAGCACACACTAAGTACATCCGCAGCACGTGCAATATTTTGTCCTTGCTCAGTTTTACTCTTCTGTGTCATGGCAATAATATAAAACTCTTTTTGTCGTAAGAGCATTGCTTCACAAGGTGACTTCTATCACACTTCTGTGGTGCGTTACCAGCAGCCACCATGCAGACCTGGTAAGCCAGTGTTTTATGGAATGCATCTGACCTGTTCACAGAACAAACAAGCAGAATAAAATGATATATCACCACAAAATCGGTCTCTATTTTGAAATCTGTGAAGGGTGCTTCGTAGACATATTTTTTGTTAGAAATTCTTCATTAAGAAACACAAATCCAATACTCGGAAGACAATGTTAATAAGGGGAATTGTAAAAGCTATTGTGGTATACTGTTTCCAAATTGGCAGGCTTGTTCTTTATTTTACTTTATTTTTGACTGATCTAGTTTTAACTATGATAATTGAACAGTAACTGCATACAGCCAGGCAGTTCTACAGTCTAATCAATACCATTGTCAAGAAGCCGTCTTTTAAATATATATCCAGATCCTTTTTTCTCTTTCTCAAATGATAGCTCAGTTATTTATATGAATGTTCAATATGAACTTCTCTTTCTGCCCCGGAACTGCCCTAAACAGTGTGTATACAAAATACTTTCAGTCTTTAAATATTCAGGGAGTTTTCTTATATACTGCTTAACTGCTATGCTAACCAGTTTGTATCGGTGTGGGTACTTTGGGGTTCCTATGGGAAAAAATAAGTTTGATTAATTAAATTCTATATTTATGAAGTTCATAATGCCAGTATATATTTATGCATCTCAGCAAAGAGGCCAAACAAGCCCATGCCCATGATACTTTATTTCAGGTATTTTATCTTTCCGGTCTGCCGGATTTTGCAAATATAGCATGATCCGGGCTTGTTTCTGGACAGTTTCTTTTCACATACGAGAAAAAAAAAAGAAAAATGGACTAAGCTGACAAATGAAAGAGAAGTTTCCATGCTCACTGTTTTGCGCTGCAGACAAAATTTCTGAAGTTACTAGTGGCTTTGCATGTCCAGATTTAAGGGCATGCTAAAAGGGTCTAATTTTCAAAATGTGAGTAGAACACCATGAGAGTAGAAAGACTCTGGATGTTGGACCCTTAGTGTCTGTGAACCAAGGGCACCCAATATGACTATCAACTTAAAATCTGAATGGAGTACAAATAGTGCTCCTCTAGTATATGCAGAAAAAATACAGCCCAAAGAACCTGGCTGGTTTGAACCAACACCACCCCATGAGGTGGAGAGGTTTCCATGTCTTTTTGTTTCCTTTACCAAAAGACAGATTCTTTTACTGAAAAAAAAAAAAAAATCATGGTAAAACATAGCATTCTTCGGAGTTCCCTGTTTCCATTGCACTGGTAATTTGAACCTTCTGATAATATGAAATCTTATAATCTGGCAATAGTTTTCACGCAGTCATGATAGGAATGGGATCATTAGGTATTTTTTCTATTGATCTTTACAGAGTTCCGCTGGCGTTTCAAAATTAAACCATCTTTATATAGGTGAGGCACAAACACCAAACTTTTCATATTTGAGTATCTGAAGTTGGGCTTGTGAAAACTTGCTTAGGCTCCTGAATAGAAATGTCCTTTAAAATTCGGACTTCCTGGTCGAAACGCCTATGCTTACTTTAATGAATAAAGCAGTCCAGGGGCAGTCCTGTGGTCCTGAGGCCAAAAGCAATGGCTGAGCTTGTATCCAAATGGTGAAACTCCTCCAAAACAGGGTGGCCTCTTCTCTTCTGTGCAGCCTCCGGGGAACAGTCCCGGACCTTGCAGTGCCCTAAACCATGCTCGAGCCTTGCTTGACAGAGAGCTTATGGGCCTGGGCCAAGCAACGCCAGGGCCGTACGGTCAAATAAGAAAGCAGCAGGCTAACAGTTTTTTGTACGTTAGTGCTGTTAACACATGCAGTTCTTTGTGTGCAAGTGCTCAAGCCTGTTCCCTGGCCCAGCTTAGTTTACTAGCGTGCAGTAAATTAACTCTTTTTTGCTTTTAGGTGTCTTCAGGGCCACAAATTTTGAAACATTTCAAGCTGTCCTGAAATTGAAGAAACTGGCTTTACATATGCTTTCTTTAAAAGAGAGGAAGTATAATGTAGTGGTTTGGTGCGCTGTTGCACTCAGCAGGCTCGTGTTTAATCCCCTGGTCCACGAGACTTCCTGTGAGACCGTCAAATCACTTAACCTCTCTGTACTTCAGTCTCACACCCACGAAGTGGCACTTCCCTTTCTTCCCAGGAGTATTGTTAAAGATTACAAGGCTGGCTGGCGTTCTGGCAATTGCCACTCCGTCACACTGCACAAATAAATACGGAACAATTGTTCCTAGCTCTGATTGTTAGAACAAATTTAGACTATAACTGTCTTGATTATTTGGAGTTCAACATCTATTACCATAGCAACCTGTTTTAATAACTTCCAAAGTGCACAAAATATACTAGGATTAGGTTAATTCTGTGGTTCAGCACTGTACATAATATGCAACTACCTGGATCCCCATGGAGACCACAAGGAATAATCCAAACAGAGCTTAATCAACAGATCAAAACCACCTTATCTGTCAATGAAAGAAGGTTTTTTTTCTTACTTTTTTAACAGAAAGCCTTTATTGTCTGCAACATTTCTTTATCTCTTAAAAAGAGATTATTGCTTTTAAACTACATGATGTGAGTGAAAATAATACTGTGCATAGAAACTTTTTGCATTAACTATCCTATCTCTGGAAAATAGTCATTACGCTTCAGGGTAAGAGAGAAGGTTCTGATTTTTCTACACTTCTATGTCCCATCTTAAACCAAATTGTTGTCCCAAAGAAGGGTTCCTTCACCTAGTGTGCAACGAGCCAAGAAGCACACAGAGTTGAGATATTTAAGTTATTTCTGTGCAGACACGGGTGCTAGGTGGTAATTCCACAAAGCTAGCCCACCTGATTACTACATAGCCGACACTTTACGCAGTTTAAGCCACAGTTATCAGTACAGTTCACAACTACATTAAGTTACCCTTGTTCCCATTGGTTCTGCTAGGTCTCATCTTCCTTTAAGGTCACAGTATCCTCTTTTTCTACTACGACGCTGTATGGGGAAGGGGCTTTGATCAGCCGGGGGGCTTCCATGCTTGTGCGTGGGTTTTTTATTCTGCTAATTAGGATAGTTCACCCGTGGTTGAATTAGTTCTCTTCTGTTTATCAGCTGTCTTTGTTCTCTTCAGGCTTATTTGGGTACTTCCTTATCTGGCTGCCTTACAGTGTTGTCTTGCTCCTTCTTCTTTCAGGGCCTTGTTTTCTTAACTACCTGTGAAAGACTGAATAATGCCCTAATCTCCTCTTTTCCCATACCTCCAACAAAATCACTGTAAGAGTATGCTCTTTCTTGATAGCATTTTAAAAAGTTTACTCTTGTACAAAAGGGCAAATTCTTCAATTTCAATTCAGCTTCCATTTAACTCAAGTAGACTTTCTGGATAATTGTTTTTCATACCCATTATCTTTTCATTCGGATCACTGATATTAGAGATCAAGAGTGATTAGTATAGATAAATAATATACTGGGAACAATTACTTTCATTATTATAGAGCATAAGTAAAAGCTGAGAAAAATCAATTGACTTTCAGTGCATATCTTTTGAAAATAAGACATATATATTTTAAAAACACATTTTTAAATAAAATAGATACTTTTAAATGTCAACACCAACAATGGCAGTTCTTAAAAATGCAATATATTTTCTGATGTAACTTGCCTGATGCATTTTCAGCCAAGTATCTTCACAGCTTTTCAGATATCATGCAGAGAAAACATATACAGAAGGCCAAGAATAGATTAAATCAAATTTAATGGAAGCAGTTTTATAGGCTTCCTTCTTCTCCATTTACAGAAATATTTTTGAGATGCAACATAATTTGACACTTTTCCCCTACCCTCTTTATGATTTTGCAAAACCCAGTTTCATCTCCTTTTTCTGGCCATTTAGATGTTTTTTCTTGGAAAAGTTAAGTTTGCATCCCACTGAATCAGTTTTATGAGAAATAAGAAGTTTAATCTTAGAAATGCTTGCTTCATCAATCCATACAACTAATTCCATTTTTTGCTTCAGGTTAAAAAAAAAAAAGATAAATGATTTTTCAAATCTAAAGAATAGAAGAAGCATAACCCATGAACTGCATCAATGCACAATGTGTGCAGACACTGCTTTGTTCAAAATGTTGAATAGTGAGACTGTAATTGCTGAGTGTAATTATATCACTCAGAAATAGTCTTGGTATTTTCCTAATTGAGCTTCAGCTTGCAAGTGTGATAGTTACCTCTGCCCTTATTAGTTGTTCTATGTTACCTCTTCATTCACCACAGACCAGAACGCTGTTCTTGGAAGGTCAAATGTTTCATTCTTGAAAAAAGAAACAAAGAAATTGTCTTGGTCAACCTTTTTAAATCCTATTTCAAGTGCCTTATACTATCTAAAATTAGTATGAAGAAATCCTTAAGCTTATACCTCACGAGTCCTTCTGCTATGGAGAATTCCCATATGCCAAAGAGCTGCCACGTCTATTTTTATGCCAATCCCATCTTGGTATCCTGTAGGGTGATATTATGAAGAAGAAAATATTGCTGTCCTTTCTTCTTGAGAGTTGTAGCTTTCATTAGAACAGTTGGTACACTACTTCGACGACTGAAAATAAATTGGGGAATGGGGTGAATCCAAAAGCCTGAATCTGAAGTTCTGGGTTGTGTAAGGTATAAATTTGGAATTGTGTTTTAATAATAGCAATAATATGTTAAGTGTTAGCATCAATACACGCCATAAATATATATATTTTGAGTAGAAATGTGTGCTATTGTTGTTGGTGTTATATGGATTCCTATAAAAATACATATAAACTATTTCCAGAACAGTCCAGCTGCTGAGGAGAAGAATTTCACTTTGCATCTAGCCAGTGCTCTGCCTCATCACGGTCTCTAAATAGCACAGATTACTCAAGAGGTAGACCTTGATTCCTGTACCCATGGTTAGAAAGAGTTTAAGTCATCAGAAAGGTCACTTTTACCCTGGCTATCTCTTATAAATGAGAGTATCTTCCATTTTTTGTTTTTTGTTTTTTGGGTTTTTTTTTAATGTATGCTGAGTTTACTGTTTCAAGCTACAATTATGAAACCAAATTTTTCTTTTATGGACTTGATAATGGTTTTCATGAAAATACAAGCTTGACAAGCCATAACAATGCCAAAATTTCCTAAGCTAGTGCACCACCCACTAAGAATATTGCTCTATATCTGAATCAGACATGAGTCAACATTTAGAGGGGGATAAGGTGCTGTAACAGAAAACAAAGCTCATTCTTTTCAGTAACTAGAGAATTAAAAGTAGTATTTTAGATCATTGCCATTTCCTTTTCTCTTTGTTGTGATCCCAAGGACTAAAGGATAAGATGTAGAGAGTATTATTTCTATTGATTTACACTTCCTATCATCAACTTTTGATTAGTAAATACAGTTCCCATCATCAGTCAGCAATGACCTTGAAATTTTGTTGCCTCACCCACAGACCCAGGCAGGTGTAGACTAGAAGGCTTGTTCTTACCTTTAAAAATATTCCAGAAGGTAATAAATATTGGGCAATCGCTGAGACTCTGGCCTGTAGCAGTCCACTGAATTACTGGTCTGACACTCACAATTTCATATGTTGCAGCTTCTAGGGGAAAGAGCGAAGTATCTGGACTCAGGATATGAAGAAGAAATACTGCTGTCTCTTCTTTTATTCAGCTCTGATACTTTCATAGTTTCTTGCTTGTTTGTTTGTTTGAAAATGGAGTTTCAACTAAAGTTTGAGCCAGAAGAGTTTCCGATGGGAAACAGGAACAGGAAATGAAGGTGTTGACATATATTCTTGGTATTCAAAAACTCTAAATCCTCTTCTAAAGGACTTTGTAGGGGCATGGGAAGAAAAGTTTTTCAGGGAATCTCACCTTTCCTCTAAGGGTGATAAAAAGTTGTAATCATACTGAGCTGAATCAGGAGCTGCAGCAATAAAAGCTAAATTTTACCCTCTTGTTCTCCACCGATTGGGGAACATCATCTCAATATCTCTCTAGCAGTAATATGTGAAAAATGTTGATTAATATACATATTTAGACAAATATGCACTTACATATACATGTAATTATTTGTGCGTATGTTTATGTACATACTATTTATATATGCATGCATATTGAATACAAATGCATACACAGAGAGACACACATACACAGATATATATACATATACATACATATAAACATATATATGCATATACATGTATACACACACGTTTATATAATATTTGTTGGGTTTAAGAATCATTTATATTTCACGAAGATTAATGATTAAATAAGAATCACCTACATTTATTACGAATCATTTTGATTCTTTACTTAGTTTCTCAATTCCATCTGTTTATATGAGAGCAGCTCAATTACATAATAGATATATCAAAATACTTTCCAGCTTTCTTCCGTTTGACATAAGTTGTCTTTTATGTTACACATATTTAGCATTATGGCTCTGCAGAATAATTAGGAGGGATGAGTATGGATACTAATCTAAGGAATATGCATAGGTAACCTACATGGAACAGATTAATTAGTATATTATTTATAGGCTTGAAATCTAAGAAAAATAGGAGGAACTGCAGCAGGTATAACACATCAAGTCATTTAAGGAGGGACTAATAAGGTTTATTCTAAACTCAGTCTGATCTTCAGTAGAAAAGGCAAAGGAAAGGCGAGATGTGAATTGTCAGTTAGAGAGAACGTAGAAACGGAGAAGGAGGTGTTGTAAAAGCACTGACGGGATGTGATCTGGCACACTGTGCACTCTTCAAGAAATATGAATACAAAACAGAACCAGAATGTAAAAGAGCCCTTTAAAGTAGTGAGAGTAAAGAAGGATAAACTTCTAGGAGGCAACTAAAAGAGCTTATTTTACTAAACTTATCAACAAAGACTAGAAGGTATGACTTTTATATATAAATATGCCAGACATGGTTAAAAGTTACAAAGAGTTGAGGCTTAGCCATGCTACAGGATAACATTTTCTCTGACAACAAAATTAACATAAATCAGTTCAATCTGATTTATAAAAAATTATAAAAAGAAGATTGAGATTTTGGAACAGCTTTCCTAGAGAATTCTTTAGTAGAATGGATGAAAATGAGGAAACTTAATTGATTTTAAGATGGAGTTTGGTATATTTATGATATAATGACCATATGACATGGTTTCCTGATATAATAGGATGCTAGACACAGTGACCTCCACAATACTTGTCTTTTTCTGAGATAATAACCTCCTAATGCTGCTAAGCAACGTCTTATGATTATGGCTCATGACCACTTTAAATTTTGAATAGTCTACTGTCAGACAAAGTCTCGAGACTCAGTAAACATATGTTTCGTATGAACATCATCCATTTTAACTTAGCAAAATTGTCTCAAGGAAGTAATAATAAAAATCCATATTTTCATTTTGTCAACAAATTGTTCATGCTCCAGGAGATCAAATTTGAATATCTTTATGAGGCTATCACCCTCCATCCCCAGCTGAGACATGAGTAACCATATATAAAGATCCTCGTCAGTTGCAATATGAGGTAAAAGAGGGCTAACTTAACTGTCTGTGCTTAAAACACCTATTAATGGGGTATGCTATGTAACATTATTATTAGAAATTTAGTTATTTCAAGCCTATGGCTGATTTAGCAAAGAATTTGTATTTATCTTTCTATAAGTGACAATTAATGAAAAAATACTATCTGTTTCCACCTGACACTGACTTGCATGAGCTTTACCTTATTATGAAATCCTAAGGAGGAAAAAAGGCAGTGTAGTTTTACTACAGGGTAAATTAGGGTATATCTGCATAATGAATGAAAAGATCTTTAGTATAACCTCTATATATGTTAATACTATGCAAAGTATACATTCTTGGAATCCCTGATACACGATACATGGACTTCCATTACTGTTTTCTATATCATGACAGAAAGCCTACTGTACAGGTAGGAATAGCTGAGGTACCAGCAGAGATTAAAGGATCATTTATCAGTATTCTGAGGTCAGTAAAAATATCATCTGACAACCTGACAAGGCTATATAAAAAATTGTTTGCAAATTTGTTAGAATTGTTTTAGAGGTTTGTTAATCTGCTGCCTATAGTCCTGTATTGGTTTGGTCTCCTATTCTGGAGACATAGATGTATGCATGCTCACACACATGCTAACAAAACTGGTACAATTGATTAAAGAATGAGAAAACATAGCAAAAGAGCATGGTAGTCCCTTACAAAAAGATTGTCTTAATGGTTCCAAGATAATTTGGCTCAAACAAGGTCATTTCCTCAGATGAAGGGGACACTACTGTTTGACATTAAGGAGAACTGAAAAAAACCCAGTCTCGGAAGTTTCTTCCCAAGAGTAAATGTTATTTTTAATTGGTGAAAAATAGAGCATACTAATTCTATCAAATCCGTGAATGAATTACATATGTGACTATGTTCACATGATTAGGATGATGCTTATGAAGACAAATTTGGAAAGGGAAATATATAAATAAACATCTAAGAAATTTTGTCAGTAAAGAATCATTTGTAGAGCAAATTACCTAAGAACTGTATTCTTCTAAATCAGCGTGTTTCTTGAGTCACTTTTTCAAAGCCCATATAGGGCTGAAGTGCACCCCAAAATATCTACTGCTGTTGGCCATATTCTTTTAGTCCACAAAATACTTGCCTTACTTGCTTAACTACAAGTAGAAATATATGTATATATGCACATATATTTGCACCTTTCCTAATAACAAATGATTAGTATCCCCATATTTTGTTATTATTGTTGTTGAAAAGCATGAAAGTCGTGAGGATGACAGATGGCCTGTGTCCCTGTTTGCAGTTAAGGTAGATTCTGTAGATTCTGTTCAGGACCCTTTGCTAGAGAAAGGCGAGCTTTCATTACTTACGATCTTGTGTATTTTTCTCATTTCTCATTTGCTTAGCTAAATCAGCTGTTGTTTTAAAAAGCCATGCATATGTGATCACCAAGTTTGAACCTTTCAGGGTAACATTTTCAACAAAAGTCTTATTCTTCGCTTACTAATATCATGCAAAAGACCTAATGCAAGCAAATGAGATGGCCTGTATCTTAGTAGTTACAAAAAAAAGAAAGAAAAAAAGAAAAAAAAAGAAATGACATTAAGGTAATTAAGAAACTTCTAAAATTACATTACAAAAGTATACTACGAACCCTAGTATCTACTTCATTTTTTTGTTTTGTTTTAACTGATTCTAGGTGCTGTTGTCTGGGGTTTCCAAGCAACTCATTCTCTAAACTGCCTATTTAAGTTAATGTGCAAATGGCTATTCATGCTTCAGTGCTTCTATATCAGCTTTTACTGAAGGTTGCTTTCAGATCTGTTTTCATTATGTTTGCTGATTGATTAATATTTCACTTCTTAACAGCAATTGAAAGAAAACTTTGGGATGTTAAAACAAAGAAAGCAGTAAGCCTGCATCATACTTGGATCATTGCCTAAGGCATGGCATAAGTCAAAACAATGATCAGCATAAGATATGGGTTTTATCAGGACAGATTTTAGGTGAGTGTGGTATGTAAAAAACCTTACTTTAAATAAATTTCTAGCTTTTTCTTTATAAGCACACAAAACCAGTAGTCGTTTAGTAATATTTTCAAAAAGTAAAATCACAATATGAATCTCCAAATCAGAAGCTATTCTATATTAATGGCAGTGCATGATAGGTTTGTTTTCTCTGTTTAACAAAGCAAGAAGTTTATAACAACATGCTTAAGAAGTACTACATGTAGCACTGACTGAACTTCACAACAGTAGACCCCTATATTCCAAAATGTAAGGCCACCAGATCTCAAACTAAAGGAAATGCTTCCATAAGTGAACAATAGCTAGACCACATCAAACACCAACAGGCAGCTCTGGTTCCATTCAAAATGTCCTGGGCGGTCCACTTCATTATAATATGGCATTATAACATGCAATTTAACATGCAGAACAGGACATAGCTCTAATCTGAATAGGGTAAGGAGAGAGGTATATGTGGGCACAGCATATCATGTGATTAGGAAGGTTCAACCACATCGGGCCCTGAAGAGAAAGGTGGAAATCTGCTGTTTGCTTAAATGCTCTGTCCCAAATAAATCACACTATAAAGAACAATTTTTATAAAAGGTCTCAATGGAAAAGAGATCAGTAAAAGATACAGATATGATATAAAGTGTCACACCTACACATATACACATGTAAGATCACTTGTGCTATATAGGCATATATTATACATTACGGTATGTGTACACACACACACACACACACACACACACAGAAGCAAACATATGGAAAACCTCAATTGAACGTAAATGTGTAACAGTATGTTTTTGAATTGCTATTTCCCTCCTACCTACATGAGAAAAAGACTCTTTTTAGCAGAAGAAAATATATTTTTTTCTTGAATGTGCCTTCAATAAAAATGGTGAAATGTCTGCAGAAGTGACACAAGTACTTCATCATGCTACTGGCAGTCGTGCATCAGCTTACTCAGCACACTGATATTCGTACGACTGTATTGTCACTGATATTCAGGACCTTGTCAGTGTCTGAGATGGTGCGCTATGGACTGCCATATGAGGATGAGTATATCTAAGCAATATTCATTGTGTAAATCATTCTGGAATTATCTTTTGGGTTAGAAAGATATTAATATAGTAAAATGCCTTT